TCGGCCTTATCTACCTCAATCCCCCTCCTCGGACACAAGGTGCCCAAGAACGATGCCTTCACGGACCATGAAGTGGCACTTTTCCCAGTTAAGTACCATGTCCTTCTCTTGGCATCTCTATAAGACTTTGTCTAGATTCTCCAAACAGTGGTCAAAGGTTTTGCCATAGACTGAAAAATCATCCATGAAAACCTTCATGATTTCTTTTATCATGTCTAAGAAAATAGACATCATGCACCGTTGGAATGAAGCGGGTGCGTTACACAACCCGAACGACATTCTGCGATAAACGTAAGTTCCATATGGGCATGTAAATGTCGTCTTGCTCTGATCATCGGGGTGGATGGGAATCTGATGATAGCTCGAGTACCCATCGAGAAAATAGAAGAAAGAATGCTTCGCCAACCGCTCTAACATTTCATCAATGAAAGGTAGTGGGAAGTGGTCTTTCTTTGTTGTCGTGTTGAGTTTCCGATAATCAATACACATTCTCCACCCCGTGACGGTTCGTTGTGGGATTAGCTCATTTTTATTATTTTCAACGACCGGCATGCCTCCTTTCTTAGGAACCACTTGAACGGGACTAACCTAATCGCTATGTGGTATGGGATAAAAAATCCCGGCGTGAAGAAGTTTGAGGACTTTCTTCTTCACGACTTCCCGCATCGCATTATTTAGCCTACGTTGAGGCTCTCGAGATGGTGTACTTGAAGTGTCTATCGGAATGCGATGGGTACAGAGAGTTGGGCTAATCCCCTTAAGATCTTGTAAAGAATACTCGAAGACCGACCTATGTTTCTCTAAAATGGCGATGAGTTTGGACGTCTCCTCATCAGAAAGCTTATCACTAATGATTACAGGAGTTTCTTTATCGCCATTTAGGAAAGCATAGCATAAGCCAGCAGGTAGGGGTTTTAGCTCAACCGGAGGTCGTGCTGGTGCTTCCTCATGAGGAAGATCTATGGTTTCTCCTAAGTCATCCTCTTCTTCTATGAAGAGTTTTGCATCCTTTTCTAAGGACGACTTAGGAGAATCAAAGGGTAAAACCAACATAACTTCCTTGGGCAAGTTAGGATCGGGGAGAGATTCTGCCATCGAGTTCTTTGCTTGAGTGATAGGAATGGTAAAGGTATCTCTACCCAGCTTTACGTCTAGATCCCCTATTTTTGGTGGGTCTAAGAAGAGTTTTTCTAGAGGATGCCCTATCAATACGTCGAAGTCCTGAATGTCCAAAACATGGAAATCAGGGGCCAAAATGGTATTGTCCAAGTGTAGTTGTATACCGTGCAGGACCCCTTTACTTTCCAAAGTGTATCTTGGGGTGAGTCTCAAGGTTTTGTTGGTAGGGACAAGAGGTTCTTTGCTTAAATAAGCATGTGCATAAGACAAGAACATGAGATTTGCCCCTACCATAGGGTTGTATAAAACCTCTTCCCAAGATCTATCAACTTTGCTTTGAATGGTTGAAGAAGGGATGTGAATCTGAATTTCTTTAGAAGAAAGTTCCACTTCTTCCACCCATTCGCTGCTCATAATGACGATCAACTCCTTGATGGATTCCTTAAGAAATTATGTCTATAGGATCACAAGGAGTGACAGGGATTGGTGGCCTTTTATGGCATGAGTATTTCAACATATTTCCAAAATCTTTGAAAAAATCGTCCTCGAAATACGGAAGGTCCAAAGGTTGGTAACCTTCCTATGGGTCTTCTGGTTTGGGCAAGGGTCTCTCTAGGGATGTTATGGGTTCGGCTTTAGCCGAAGAGACTTCCTCGTGGCTTAGCTCGGGCACTACATGGAGGGGTTCTAGCGTAGGAGTGTTCTCTAGAATGCGGTCTAGGAGAGCTTCTCCTTCCACCATGGTTTTATGGGTAAACGAACCTCTGGCAGCTATATCGAGCTGTAGGGCAGATTCTTTGCTAAGCCCTAACTAGAAATGTTGTAAAAGCACATGGTTGGGTATAGACAAGTTTGGGCCAGATCTCATTAAAATTGAGAATCTATCCCAAGCTGCACCTATGGATTCCATCTCTTTTTGTTGAAAGTTGAGTATCTCTTGCCATAGGGTAGCAATTCAGGATATAGGGAAGAACGCAAGACAGAATTTGTTCCTTAGTTCTTCCCAATCGCAAGCTACCTTCCCTACATTGTGGGCGTATCATTGTTTCGCCCTCTCATCAAGTGAGAAAGAAAACAACTTAAGAAACAACTTCCACCGAAGTGTTTCTTGTGACATGCCTGAAATGGTCAGGCAGCTGCTCAAACTCCCTTAGGTGGTAGGGGTTTTCATAATCCAACTCCAAGAAGGCTTGTTCCCGAACCATGGCTATAAAGCCAGGGCAGAATTCGTAACTAGAAGTTGTGATTGGCTTCGAGGATTGTGGTGGTTCAACAAACTTGCCCTTGGGAATAGAAAGGTTTTGAATGGTAGGTTGCTCCATTGGAAAAGAGTAAAAAGAAAAGAAAGGTAAAAACAAAGGATACATGGGCAATCTAGGTTCGGAGATGAAAACGACAACTGTTCCCCGGCAACGACGCTAGAAATGCTTGTTGGTGCTTCTTAGCGTAAGCAGAAAAATCCGCAAGCGCACGGAAAGTACCGTTGTAGCACTTCACCCGAAAGTATTCAGGGTATCGTATTTTCCCAAAGGAACGGTAGTGTAAGTAGTCTCTTGGCTAGTTTATCTAACAAGAATTGGAAGAAGGGTAACTTAGGTAGTGAGGTTCTTCTAGGGGTAGAAACCTTAAGCAAAGATAACTTTGCTACAACAGACTCACTTTGGGCACCGGAGCACACCTGATCTGTCAGGCGATACCGGCATACAGCTCTACGCCATATCCGAACATGAGGGATTACAAAGGACGGACATGGCTGTCACCACCTGCCGCCTACCCCTCAACCGAAGGATACGAGGCAAACGAAGGTGACTTTTAGCTCAGACACCACGTCTACGCTATCGGTCACTACTCTAGCGTTGGCTAGGAACTTCCGTCTTTATCAGGAGTCCTCTACTAGAGCACCCACCGCGAGGACGGATGACGAACCCGCAAGTAAGTAGTAACAACGATAACTTTACTTAAGGGATCAAAACCAAAAGATGAACACGAACTTCTTACTCCAAGTAGTAAGATGAACGTAGAGGTACAAGTATAGAGGGGGCCGACAAGTCCGGCACTCCGTCCATCCGATGTACAAGGCTCGCCGAGTACAAAAAGTAGAGGGCACCGTTACTCCGCTATTCCTCTAACTCTTTCCTCTCTCACTCCCTAACTAGTCTAGCTAGAAGCTAATGGAATGTGTGTAGCCCTGCTTCATCTTCTCCAAATGTGTATGATCCCTCCATGAATGTGGAGAGGGGGTCTTCTTTTATAGGCTTTGAGGAGGTCGGTTTGCTCGTATTTTAGGAAAGCACCACATGCAACCGCCTCCCCAGCATTGAATGCACCGCCTGAGCAAGGTGGGGCCGGACGGAGCTGGGGGCGGTGCGCCCACTCCCTGGGCCAGCCCACTCGCCACCGCCTTGCTCTGGTGGGTTGGTGGTTGGGCCTGGATGGCTCCCACGATGGTGTTCTCACCCAAGTGTGGAGTTTTGATGGGCTTGCTTCTGTTTTGCTTGAATGCGCCTTCTTGGTACATTTTTGGTACATTTTCACGTGTTGCCCTGCAAAACATGTTTATACCAAAACTCTTGGAAAATGTGAGTTATAAACCCTAATTCTAAGTTTTGGTATTCATGTTTGTTTTATTTTGTTTAAATGTTGGCGGTAAGAATATGAGTTAAGCACCGCCAACAGCTACCAAGTTTGATTTAAACTTTCTTAAGCAATTTATCTTGCCAAGGAACTTTTGCATATCCTTCTTACATGTGCGTGCTTGTACCTTTCTAATCGCTTCTATTTTCTTATGATCAATCTCTATACCATTTTCATGAACAAGAAATTCTAAAATTTTCTAGCTAATTTAATACACCAAAAGCACACTTGAGTGGATTTATTTTTAAACCATACAGACATATTATCTCAAAAGCAAGAGGCAAATCGGCAAAATGAGAATTTAAGTCAGTCAATTTAACAACTATGTCTGTCCTCTGTACTGTATAGACCTCCAAGATAACACCGAATCTAAGGTTCATAAGCCTCTGATAAGTAGCACATAGCGCCAGTATTATTTAATCCAAAAGTCATAACAACCCACCCAAACAAACCTATAAAACCTAGGCACCTAAATCATTTTGTAAATGTCCTCTCTCACTATAAATATTTGATGGTTACCAGTATTACTATCAACGAACTGATAATGTCCACATGGCTACATGGGCCATTGATCAACATATCTGCTATAGGCAAATGGTATTCATCTTTAGGACTAACTTTATTGAGATGTATAAAACCAATGAAAACTCTAAAATTATGCTGTAATATTTCTTCTCCACCAACACAATATTATAGATGCAATCACCATACTTGCAAGGTCTAATAAACTTGACTTTAAGCAATCGATTTATCTCTTCCTTGATCCTGTCACACGCATATTAGAATTGAAACGCCTAGTTTTACTGAATGTGGACGACGTAAGACTTTGCTTCTTTCATCTGGTGGTAGTAGTTGGTCGACGAAATATTGTACAGGTTAGTGCTCTCGTGCTCTGTCGCATGTCCTTGGACCACCTCATTTCTAGGTCAAAAGTCTTTGTGGTTTCTTACCTACCGGCTTCCAACCATGATCTTAATTCTTAACGCATTCGTACACACAGAAATTAAGAGATAAACGATGTTAATGTTTACTTTGAACAACTTTTGCAATACATGTTGCCTCCAACTTTCAGTATACAAACACCTCACAACTTGAGGTGTATTCTCGGCAGTATATTAACAGAACAAAAAATGAAACAAAAACCTCTCCCCTTGAAATTCTTGAGAGAACGAATTAATAGCATCACCAAGAAAAGAGAAAAACAAAAGAATTCATGAGCAATCTGTCAGCTAGCTATGTACTCCCACTCATGCCCTGCTCAGGGTCGGCGGGCTCTCTGGTCTCTTCACGGCGCTGGCGTACCGGCTCCGCAGCGGGCTCTCTGCGTGCACGGCCGACATGACGTGCCTCTTGCCCTGCCGGCTGCCCGCATCCGCCTCCGCCTCGTCGTCGTTGGTGACAGTGACACCGTCCGCGCAAGCCTCGACGACCTGCGCCGGCGCCGGCGCCGGCGCAGCCTCCGCCGCGCCGACCGTGAACACGAAGGGTCCCATAGGCACGTCGTCGTCGAGCGCCAGCAGCGGCTCGAGCGCGTCGACGACGTCGCGCATGTTGGGCCTGGCCTTGGGCACGCTCTGCAGGCACTGGTGCGCGACCTTGGCGGCCTTCTCCGCGGCGCGCGCCGAGTACTGCATCTCCAGGCTGGGGTCCATGAAGCGGTGCAGCCTGTCGGCGCGGCGGAGGTAGGGCCGGGCCCAGTCCACGAGGTTCTGCTCGCGCCGGCCCCGGCGCTTGTCGACGGAGCGCCGGCCCGTGAGCAGCTCCAGGAGCACCACGCCGAAGCTGTACACGTCGCTCTTCGACGTCAGGTGGCCCGTCAGGATGTACTCCGGCGCCGCGTACCCGTGCGTGCCCATCACCCGCGTCGTCACGTGCGTCGCGTCCCCCTGCGGCCCCTCCTTCGCCAGCCCAAAATCGGACAGCTTCGCCGTGTAGTCCTGGAAATGAATGACAAACTTGTTGAGGTTAGACACAATTCGATTTCGGCAACAGTTGTTTTTGAGGAAAAGTACTGTGCATTTGACCTCGCCAATGCTGTGCATAGCAAAATAGTGGTTGGGATGAAGACATCACTGTTTGCTGTGTTTTGCAACTGCTACAGAGCATCAGGATCCAAAATCCAAGCTAACCACAATATTATGATGCTCCAGCTAGGTTTATCCCTAACGGCCGGCACCTAGAATAAAAACAGAGGCTACTGCTACTAATTTGTCGGTAGTTGCAAAACAAATCAGATTTGAGCACGAGTGTACGTGAGTACGTCGACTATTCCTGAATGAATTCTTAAGGAGGAGGAAGGCTTTGACACGGAACATGGTTGGCGTGTAGGTAAGAAACATTTTATATAGCGAAGAACAATACAGTTCCCTTGGTAAGAAAGAATCTGCAACGTGCATGACAACGACTAAGCACCCAATGGGGCAATTCTTTACCGTCCTAAAATCGCTCGCTCGTCGGTAAAGAGGTCGTCGGGTTGGCGTTCTTTTGTGGAAATATGCTGTATGCTAGCTGTTGATGCTGAGGAGAAAAAGAAAGGAGATTGGACTTGGTGAGGCTTACCGAGTCGAGAAGAATATTGGAGGCCTTGAAGTCGCGGTAGATGACGGGCGTCTCGGCCTCGTGCAGGAACGCCAGCCCCTTGGCCGCGCCGACGGCGATCTTGAGCCGCGTCGACCATGGCAGCGACGCGAGGAGATCTGCAGCCAGGCACACGTTCACAGGAGCTGTTAGTCCACTGATCGATCGGAGATACCCAACAAATTAAAAGTGGTGTGTTGTTAGCAGCAGCAGCAGTGCTTACTCTTGAACAGATGGTTCTCGAGGCTTTGCCTGGGCATGTACTCGTACACCAGCATCCGGTGGTCGTCCTGGTTGCAGAAGCCCACCAGCTTGACCAGATGCGGATGGCTCAGCATCCCGAGGTACACCACCTCCGCCTGCAGAGACAAGACAGCGCAGCCAGATCAGGACTCGATTCACAGATCCATCAGCACTCAAGTAGCAGTGGTAACAGACAAGCTGGAAAACTGCATGGGAAGAACGTACCAGCCACTCGCGGTGGCCCTGGACGCCGTCGCTGTCGAGGTACTTGACGGCGACGTGCTGCGGCTGGAGCCCCGGGCGGAGTCGGCCGTCGACGAATCCCTTGTAGACGGGGCCGAACCCGCCCTCGCCGAGGAAGTTGGAGGTGGAGAAGTTCTTGGTGGCGGCCTTGAGCTCGTCCAGCGTGAAGGCGTGCAGCTTGGTGGTCTCCAGCTTCCGCGACAGGTCCTGCAGCGACAGCGACCGCAGGTTCGCCGTGCTCAGCCGCCGCAGCGTCGGCTTCCCGCCGGGGCGCCTGCCCGCCGCCGGCCGCTCCGCCGCCGCCGCGGACTCCTGCTCCTGCTCGCCGCCGCCGGCCCCGAAGCACCCCAGCAGGCGCTTCCTCAGCCCCATGACGATGAGCAAATCGAAACCGCCCGCGTCGATCTCGTCTCGTACGTCCTCGTCGCTTCGCCGCACGGACCAAGGAGCACGACGCTCGCCGGCGAAGAGAGCCTTGGAGCTAGAGAAGGTGTCGGTCGCTGGCGAAGTGGCGAGGTAGAGGACACGGAGGCACGGCGCGGTGGCAGGGTATATAAAGGCGAGTAGGCAGCGGCTTTGTTCGTGTGGGCGTGGGCGTGGCTTCGAGGTGGGTGAAGGATGGGGAAGCGTCGTCGCCTTTACTTTTTTGGGGGTAGTAGCCCGGGACCTGGAGGTTAATTATCGCTACTCTAATACGGCAGGTGATGGAATTAGTAGGAGTGAGTGCTTGAATCATTGGTGATGCCGGGGTCGGTTAGTTAGCGGGTGAAAGCTCCGTGAAACGTATCATATGGCTTTTCTTTTTGAAAACGAAACCGGCCCCGTTCTTATCGGTAGGGCAGCAGTTAGACTGTTTATGTTAGAGGGATGTGTGCTAGTATTTGTTTAATTTTCTCGGTTTTCTGTATTGTTGCGTTCCAACTCCCAGCAGGGCAACACGACCATCTGTATCTGTACTCGTACTTGCAGGCCTGGCGCAGCCCTTTGTTTAAAAACTCGATCTTTGTCGTTATTGCTGATGCATTTTGTTTCGTCATATACTAGCGGGTGGTTTCGTTGGTTGGTTCGGTTGTGCCTTCTTGACATTTTAATTTAATTTTGTATTGTTCGATTCCCTGGTTTGTTGCATGATTGATCCAGAAGAAAAGGTAGTAAGCTGTACCTGTTTTAATATAGAGGCAATTCACGTGCTTAAAAAATACGGTTGAGAGCTAGTGAACCAAACCGTCCGCCCTTGTTGTTATCTTTTCTCCAAAGACGCCATCGAGAAGCTCAAAGACGCACAAAGGACCAAAGGTTCATCCACTTCTTAGAGCTGAGGACGCGCACATTACATTGGTCTGTTAAAATAAGCACTTCAAAACCAAAGGTCTGAGTGTCTGACCATTTCGTTCCCACCGCCATCCAAAGCAAGTTCTGCTTCAACTCAAACACATATTCATATTCACCCTTTCGTGAAACACAGTAACTTACTTACCACTAAAAGATTAGTTTGACCTAACTGAGCTAAGCTCAATTTACATATGTATTTATCTTTATTAAGCGGCATTTTATTTTTGATAACAGGTTGTGTAAAAAAAAAGGGCGGGGGGGTATTATTGGACAGTACTATCTCATTCAACATTCTCTGAAAAGAATCTCATTCAACACAAAACCAATGTATGAACTCATCCATGACCCATTAAACGGATCAATTGCACAAAACATAAAATCGCGTGGAAGCTTCAAAAGATATATACACGTCTCCTGGGCCAAGTATTTATATTACGTAAACACGCCGTCTGACCGAATTGGAGTTGGTTTCACATGTCCTTCTGAACATGTTTTATCTTTCACACAGATTTGCTTATATACTCCAAAAAAGGTTAGCGGATGGTGGTGGCGAGACCTTTCCCCAAAAAAATTAGTTGGTCGTCATTGTTATTTCCACAATCCGGTGGATGGGTACAAGTAGTAGTTGCAGTTGTTGAAGTCGTTCAACATGCCAGTTCCTCTGCCTCGTTGCTCTCTAAAAAAAGAAGAAGAAGAAAGGAAAGAAAGAAAACTGGGGGACAAGCATGCTAGTGTAACCTGTTGGATGCTGGAAAAAATGACTCCGCTGCACATGTTGGATGCTAGAAAACTGTTAGGACGTTGGATACATGGTAAGCATAAGTTAGGCTTTGTTTAGTTTACTCCCTCTAAAGTTTACTCCATATCCCATCAAATATTTGACATATGTATAGAGTATTAAATATAGATTAAAAAATAATTAATTGTACAGTTTACGACTAATTTACGAGACGAATCTTTTAAGCCTAATTAGTCCAAGATTTGATAATATTGTGCTACAGTAACACGCGTGTGCTAATGATGAACTACTTAGGCTTAATAAATTTGTCGCATGGATTACTGACGATTTTATAATTTATTTTTTTTATTAGTATTCGAATACCCCATATGACATTCAATATAACACCCGATGTGATAACTGATACCCAAAACTTTACGTCCTCAATTTAAACAAGCCTTCAAATGCCGCCAGCAGTAAAGTAGTACTCGACAATATGATAAAAAGAGAGAGAAGGTCGCTGTTTGAGCTTCTGATACAAAGAAAGTTTGAGTCATGTTGCAAAGTTTCTGATAAGTTTGGAATTTGGGCTAGGTAATTAGTGTTCTATCATGGACTAATTAGACTCAAAACGTTGGAATCTCGTCATGTTTGTCAGTGTTGCAAAGTTGTCTGAGTTTTTTTTCGCTAATTTAATACTCCATGGATTGATATGATGGATCTTATAACTAAACACGCGCTGAGTGGAAAATAAAGGGGATTGCTTATATATCGCGCATCCATTCAGCACCACTTCATAAATTGTGTCCCGTGACAAAAGTGGGCACAATATTCTCCCACCACATTGGAGTAGTGCTATGATTGAGATCACATATATTCGTCTTTCCCAAAATATAGTTCGCTTTAGATCTTGTCTGGCTATTCAATCTATCCATACCACTCCGATACACGTGGATTGACTATTGAGGTGAATATGAGTAACCAATATGTTCTTAGTTTTATGGGTTCATCCTATATCATGTTTAACTTTAATAAAATTTTCTTCAAAAAATATATATATTAGCATCTATAAATTCAAATAAATACATAATTAATACATATTGCATAGAAAATTTAATAAAAACTAATTAGATGTGGATGTATTTTGTATAACCCTAGTTAAAGTTAGAAATGTCTGATTTATTAGAGAACAAAACTAAAATAGACTTTAATTCAGAACAAATGAGTAGCTATTTTGTCCTATCTTCCCAAGATTTCTGGTTGCAGATATAAGATAGAATCTTATAGTCGTTCCTTTTCATATAATCGAGCAATTTATTAGATCAGATTTTGATTGTTCTTGGAACCTACTTTGAAAAGGTCAATTTATTAGATGCTCGACACTTGTGCTTCTCACGCTTTGTTACTTTCACCTTCCTCTTGTACTCGACTATTCCCCAATCACTCCTCAAATACGTGCTCGTCTTTGTCATAGTCCAAATTCTTTCTCTTGTAATTGTAGCTCTTTCTTGAGTGATGATTTGGGAGGGTCCCCATCACCCTACACTTCATTGTATTAAGATACGAGTATACAATGCGTTGCCTTTTCTTTTGGGCTCCCACAAAGATTGGCTTAAACAAAAACATTGCGCATTAAGTGTTTTTTTTCTCGAATACGTAAAAGATTTGTGTATCATCGTATTAAGAAGAAGAGTTTAACCATACAACAACGCGCTTCAGATAAGCGTCCTAGAAGGTCTTACAACCGAAGGCTGGACCGTCCTAGTAAACAATTTCCGGCTTCAATATTACATAAAAGGTATACAACCAAGCTAAGAGAGTGATGCAACCTACGAAGCTGGGCGCCTCCGCTGCTGGCTACGCGATCCTACTCCGGCGTCCGAGAAGAGCACGTTTTCAATAATGGTATCCTCACGGCGCCTATGGATGCAACTTCGTGCTCCGCTTCGCCTCGTGCTCCGCGCCTGTTGTCTGCCCATGGATGTAGTTTCGTGCTCCGCTTCGCCTCATGCTCCGCGCCTGCTGCCCGTCCATGGATGCATCTTCGTCCTCCGTGGCTGCTGCCACGCCCATAGATATAGCTTTTGTGCTCTACGCCTGTTACCACGCTCGCTTCGCTCCCCGCACGGATGTGGGGATCGTTGCGCCTGAGGGGACCACCTTCGCCTACGCCCCCTTGCCGCGCCAGCTCATGGAACACTTGCAACATTAAGCATTTGCTGCAATGTATGTCCGAATCAGATAAAACATTTACAACATACGCTTGCAACATATGTGTATGGGCGCTGTAACATATGCAACATCCAGATAAAACACTTGCAACATACGTTTAAAACAGCTGAAACATACAGTTGCAACATACGTGTATAGCCAGTGCAACAATGCAACATCCAGATAAAAACACATTGCAACATACGCTTGAAACAACTAAAATATTTGAAACATACACTTGCAACATACGTGTGTAGTAATTGCAACATATGAACACCAGCTCTACTTTTGCAACGTCCAGATGAAACATATGCAACATATATCTGAAACGCATGAAACATACGGTTGCAACATATGCTCATCTACTTGCTGTCCCCCAATGGACCCTCGTTGACACGAGCTTGACGCCAGCACGAAGCTCGATGCCTCGACGCGGAGGTCACCCACGGTCCATGGACCTCGGGTGTGCGTAGCGCGCGAGGCGTGAGGCGTGGGGGCAGACGGGCCCTGTCCCATCCGGTCGGCCGAACGCTCGGCAGAGAGCATTATCGATTCAACATAAACTACATAAATTCTTCAGCCCAAACGATATTCATGAGTAAATGAAGTGACCGTTTCAAAATATCTTTACCTTTTTTTTAGAAACAACATCTTTATTTTTCTGGGGGTACTCTTTGAAGCATTATTAGCTTTATAATATAAGTAGCCCCCGGCCCACATATCAAAGTTTCAGGTCCCACCACTAGCAAAGATCGTGACATGATGACCACCGTCCACCGGTGTGCGCAACAGCGACAGCATCGGCACATATGGGCGAGTGGTGACACTCTTTTTGTGCGTACCAATGTTTCGGCCAAAAGAAGGTAGAGGAGTTGATAGAGTGACTCTCACACAGTCGCACGTGCTGTGAGACTCTAATGCACGCGGTGGAGAGCGATCAAAGGCGACCACAGAATCGCAAACGCAAACGCGCACGCACACGCAGCCGCGAACCCGGACCGGACACGGACCACGATCACAACAGAGCCACCCCCCCACCACCAGGCGCTCGTGATGTAATAGCGCGCAGGCGTCCGTCCCCGGCGCCAAGCGATGATGACACGGACGTGGC